TGAATGAGGCCGATGAGTGTGGTGTCGTCTGCAAACTTCAGGAACGTGTCTTACGCGTGAGCAGGGGCGATTCTATGATTTTCATTTTAGGGGGGCTCAGCCCCCAATGAGGGTAATAAGAAAAATAATTATAAATAAAAAATTTTTTTGACTAATAGGGATGGTTTACTAAACTTATTGCAGCATTCCACTGTATTTAGATATGTATAACATTTTAGTACTGAATAAGCCTTCCTGATCTCACACACACACACACACACACACACCTGTTTACTGTAGTTACAAACACAAAATGTTACTGTTTGCTTTTCTAGTACAACCCTCTTTCTTTAGCTCAAGTATGCAAACCTCTTTGCACATGCACTATAATATGTATTATATTGAAAGTTAAATTTCCAAATGAAAATGGCAACGTGATCGTTTCATAAAGTATGCAGGTTTCATTTTTGCTGGAGGAAACAATTACTGTAGTTCATCTTTTATAGCTAGTAGCCTACATTGTGATTCCATTTAGAGCACTGGCCTAATCCAGATTTGGCAATCTGGAAAAGTTTGTATATGGATCTGAGTGATGTAATGTTAATCTGGACTCAAAACAGCGCCAAAAAAAGAGATGGATGATCATTCTGATCCAGTTTTTGAAAATTTTTTTTTAACTGGGCCATGGAATTCAAAACATGGAACTGAAAAAATAAATAAATAAATAAAAAATTAAAGGTTTAACATGATTAGCAGATTTGACACAAACTAGAGTTCATGCTGCTCCAGTGCTGCTGTCATTAAAGCGAAAGAGGGACAAACCAAGTAGCTACTGAGACATTCTGAAATTGAGGTTGATATTGCAAATTTTCACTTAAATTGTTATGCTGATAATATAATTTGTAATTACAGATATACAAAATAGAAGCATTTGCATTAGGGAACTAATTGCCACACAGTGTGGAACAAATTATTTTTTTCCTGGAGAATCATGAGGCTCTATGAAGTCTTTGGAGGGGCTTGGAAGCGAGGGAGACCTCGACCATATTATTAGGCGCTGTTTTTAAATTACACCGCATGCGAAACTGCAAAAAGCAAATAGCCTACTCTAAAAGTGTGAAGCGGCGCTACCCGATCATCCGCCTCCGCCACCATGTAAAGTGATAAACGGCGCAAATCGCTTGATCCGTTCAGATGTGACACAGAATTGTGTTATAGAGTCGTGTGATATGAGAACATTAATGGTTCTGTAGTGATGCTGGCTGAAGACAGCCTCGACAATGTAAACTGCATGACGAGGTGAATTGGAAAACGCCATAATTACAAGCTTGTCTATTCAGCACCAGAGTAATTTAACTTGCAGTTATTAACACTGTACATATAGCTTATGGTGTTTGGGGGTTGGTTTACTTTACAGTTTTACTTCTTGTGACCACAATCTTACTAATACTAGTCAGTTAAAATCTGGATTCTATGCAAGAACTATAGTAAATTCCATTAGGGCAAAGGATAATAGAATAGCTTTAATAGCTTCTTTCTCTTTAAATGTTTATTCTAATTAAATTTATTTGAAGTAAAATGTTATTCAATAAGAGCCTGATTAAAGATAGATATCAGTGTCTTAAATTAGGTGTTAACTATTTATAAATGTTAAAGTTCTTAAAGGGACAGTTCACCCAAAAATGAAAACTGTCATCATTTACTCACCATCATATAATTCCAAACCTGTATACATTTCTGTCTTCTGTGGAGCATAAAAGAAGATCATTTGAGAAATTCAAGATTTTTTTTGGTCCATACAGTGGAAATCAAGGTAACAAAATGGTTTGGTAACATTCTACAAACTATCTTCTTTGCGTTCCTCTGAAGAAAGTAAGTCATACGGGTTTGGGACGACATGAGAGTGATGAAATGATGACAGAATTTAATAGCAGTAGCCTAACTTTCCTGCGTTCTAGCTCAAAATCTGTGGTTGACTGTCAAGTGCGTTTATAATGCATTATTAAGTTTGTTGCATTTGCTGCGAATTCAGTAATATTTATCATTATTTGTTTCTGTCCTGTTTTATCTATGGGCTAGATTCGTCCAGGGCCGAATTTTAACCCCAGTTCATCCCTGAACTCCTGTTATGGAATCAAAAAGATAACAAAAGAGATAGCGGCTATGATAATTCACTCATGTTTTTTCTTCATATATGTATCTTAACGCTTCCGTTTTGTATTACGCTGCTGGGACTGCGCGAGACATGCCGAGTAACTGAATCAGTGTGCAGTCGTGATTGTGACGTGAGCAGCGCACGCTGATCTGATGGTGGGAGGATTTCAGGAAGAGCGCTGAGTGCTACGTGTCCAATACTGGCTTCCACTAACTCTACTTTACTTTTACTCAGTGTTAGTTTCGGAAGGGTCACGTCTTTAGAAAGCCTCGGCCAGCGTGTTCGCTTTGTGGCATCATGTCTGGGATGAAAAAGCTAAGAACGGTACGTTTGCAGATGTCGGGCTTTTTTTTCTTGCTTTTGATTCTTTCTCGCTGAACTTTGAAAAGTTGCATCGATAGGAACTATGAAATGTACAGACTATAAAACATAGCAGAAACCGTTTGTATTAGTACTAATGCCTTTGTTTTTTGATCATGCAATAATAATAATAATTCAAAAAACAAACCGTTTATTTTAAGAGGCGCTACATTCACACAGAGTAAGAGTTGCTCGAGTTAATCATCCGGATAATAACTACTGGATGAATATGGAGTGGCAGCCCCTTAAAATAACACAAGTGTTTGTTCTCGGCAGAACGCGTATTGAAAATATAAATTTGTGATGATGTGGCAGGATGTTATGATTCAGGCTTATCCTTTTCATCACTTTGTCTAGATTTGGCAAATGACTTAACTTCGTTCCATGCTTTGTTTAGTATAAATTAAACTCACTCATCTCCTTATACTAGAATAACTCTGTTTTTTTTACGTGCCAGAACCATAACATGCATGTCATTGTGATCCGCAATATAACCATATAAAACTACTCAAATCCCATGTAAGATTAATGTTATTTGTAACTCAGTTCCTTATGAAGCCAGATTTTGCATATCCTCAGTCAAAGAGACACTGTGTACCAGTGGGAATTAACAAACCCCAGGGTTACTTGCATCAAGCTGGGATTTCTTGTGTATCCAAAGAGCCTTGGTACAGAGAGAGAGAGATGGCTCTGCTCCAGCTGGCCAACTCTCCATGGGCCTGCATGAATGGCCTTGTTTGTTTCTTTCAGGAGCTGCTCCCTCCTCAGTCCTGATGACCGAGTCATATACACTAGAATATAATCCACAAGAACACAACTGTGTGAATTAAACGGTTCAGAAGAAAAATATGTGTTTGTGCTCTTTCGAAAGATGCCTTTCTTACACTTCAGTCAAATGTTGTTCTGGGATGCTAATATGCAAGTAGGTATAACTGCAGATCTCCAAAATGGGGCGTGCACTCCAAAAGTGGGCAGAACCTCCAAAATGGGGCGGGGTCTCCTCGCTCAAAGACTTTCACCATTGGCTCTGGCTTCAGCCAGTTGATATTGACTTACATTTCAAAATAAAACTTTATAAATTAAACATTGTTTCTAGTTCATCTAAAATAAGATATGCTATATAAGTAAATATTCTCCGTGAGAGCAGAGCTCAAAGCTCGTGGCCAGTGCTGTTCGGACCGGAGTTTGAACATCTGGTGCTTCATGATATAACCGGGAATCACCCACGAGCTCTCCCGCGAGCCGTCCCAGCGCAGCGCAGGGGGAAGATTTTACTCTATCGCTTTGTTTTAAGCAGCGGGGGCGTCCCGGGGCTCGAAATTCGCAGGGTAGGAGGGTAGTGATGCTGGGTGTAACGAAAAAGGTGCCATTGTCCGGTGAGGTCCTGTTGGGGAGTTACGGAACGATCTCATATGGCATAATCTTATTAACTGTTTATCTCCTGAACGGCATCTTTCTTTACCACGCTGCCAATCCCGCCGTGCAGTCAATCTCACCGGGTAAGGTTAGGGTCAGGTGTGGGGTAGGTTTAGGGGTTAGCATTTTTTGTAGCATAGTGTAGGAAATCAACACTTTAATTGACACAACCAATAAAATCTTTAGAATCAGCTGTGGGGCGGAGTTTGCACTGAAGGGGATTGGGGGAAAAATTGCGCATGCGTGTCATGTGCCTGTCTGTCAATGGGAGGAAGCCACGCCCTATTTTGGAGCTCCCACCCCGTTTTGGAGTTCCCGCCCCCATTTGGAGATCTCCAGGCTGCAGTTATACCCTAAATGACTTTTTCATGAAGTTGAAATTAAAGGGACAGTTCACCTAAAAATGAACATTCTGTCATCATTTACTTACCCTCATGTTGTTTCAAACCTGTATGACTTTCTTACTTCTGTGGAACATAAAAAAATATTTTGAAACCAAACAAGTTTTGGTGATTGTTGACTTTCATTGTATGGACAAAAATGATATTCTTTTAGATATGTGTAATTAAATGATGACCGAATTAGCATTTTTGGGTGAAGGATCCCTTCAAACACTTTTGTGAATCTGACCCATTGTCCATATAGAAACACAATGTCAAAATCAGATGATTTAGGCACCGACTGCACAACTTGCAAATTGTTCTCATGCTTGCTTTTCTATCATGTATATCTACGTTTTGTTTTGTACGTAGGATCTGCAGAGAGCAACCAATGTTGTGTACCAGGCTCACCATGTGAGCAGAAGCAAGCGTGGCCAGGTGGTTGGGACCAGAAGTGGATTCCGTGGATGTACTGTCTGGCTGACAGGTGGGAATTTCTCCTGTAAAACTTTCAGGAGAAATTTAGATCGAACTAGTTATTAAGGAAAGTTCACTCCTAAATGAAAATCCGGTCATCAGTTATTCACCCTCATGTTCAGACCTGAGTGACTTCCTTTGTTCTGTGAAACAGAGGAGGACATGTTAGGCAGAATGACAGTCTCCATACAGAGTCACCATTCACATAAAATATCACACCTTTTTTCCATACAATAAAAGTGAATTTTAGTTCAGTGTTTCTTTTTTCTACAGGGCTGTCTGGTGCTGGAAAGACTACAATTGGATTTGCTCTAGAGGAATATCTAGTTTCCCATGCCATTCCTTGCTACTCGCTCGATGGTGACAATATTCGACATGGCCTAAATAAGAACTTGGGCTTCACGACCACAGACAGAGAAGAGAACATTAGACGTGTTGCTGAGGTGGCCAAACTGTTTGCTGATGCTGGGCTGGTTTGCATCACTAGTTTCATTTCTCCGTTTACAAAGGTGCCGTGATATTTAATGACATCAGAGGTTCCTTAATTGCATGATATTTTCCAACAATTTCTAAATCAGGATTGATTAAGAGGAGGATTTTACATGTGCTCACAACAGGATCGAAATGACGCCAGGAAGATCCTTGAGAGCGCGGGTCTGCCGTTCTTTGAGGTGTTTGTAAATGCACCACTGGAGGTGTGTGAGAGCAGAGATGTCAAAGGACTTTATAAAAAGGCCCGTGCTGGAGAGATTAAAGGTATGTTTTGGGAAAATACATCTATAAATGCATTGCTTATAGATGTCCCATCGTGTTTATCATGGATAGGAGAAAATAGATAACATAAAAAACATTAAACACTTGACTTATTTTGGACATAAGAATGCAGAGAATAATGTCATTTACATGAATGCATCTAGAAAATGTTTTAACTACAGTACTTTTTTCTTTTTTTTACCATGTAGGTTTTACGGGAATAGACTCAGACTATGAGAAGCCTGAAGCCCCTGAGCTAGTGTTGAAGACTGGAGAGCTCACTGTCAATGACTGCATTCAGCAGCTAGTGGATCTCTTGAAGGAACAGGTGGGTCATTCTTTCATTTCTGGTCATCAAATGGATCCTTGTGTTTGGCCAGTTGTCCCTTTCTTTGTGCCAGCAGCACACAAGACTGTCAATTTTCAGTTGAGAGATGTTGAAAAATCACTGACCAGATGATTCGTTATCCCAGGATATTGTGCCCACTGGTGTGACAGAAGAAGTGAATGAGCTCTTTGTTCCTGAAAACAAGCTGGACCTGGTGCTGAGTGATGCCAATATACTCCCCACTTTAACTATCACAGAGGTAATGCAACCCTTCACAAACTCCCACATACCCTGCTGTGTGAATCAACTGCCCTGCATGTTACACCACAGGCTTTTCATCACAGTTCAGTTAACTGAAAGCTTTTCACTGTAACCTGGTGTTTGGAAATGGAAATCTATTGCATAATTTAACTAAAAGAACTACTTTACATAAAAAATGCTGTTATTTTATGGCAAACTTATTATGATGGAACACACTATAATGATGCTGTAGCAAATTTAACACTACCCCTAAACCTACACTTTTTTTTACACAAGTTCATTCCCATAAGTCCCTGCTAGTGACAACTCTTTTCCCTGCAGATGCCATTTTTGCATTCCAGTTGTGTTATCCTGTGCACAACAGCCGTGCGCTCCTGTTGTTATTGTGTGGCAAACTATCGCTCTTATCGTGAAATAAAACTGAAGTTCTGTTTGTGTGTTTCGCTCTGGTCCTGTAGCTGGATTTGCAGTGGGTACAGGTTCTAGCGGAGGGCTGGGCGACTCCACTGAGGGGATTCATGAGGGAGAGGGAATTCCTGCAAGTCTTGCACTTTGGAACTTTGCTTGATGGTAAACACATTTCTAAACTGCTAAACCCACTGACAGAGACATCACCCTCAAAAATGTGCACAGTTTCTCCATGTAATTTCAGAGTTAACAAAGTTAAGAAAAATAATGAGGGTTATACTATCAAATAATAAATTTGTTAAAATTTTCTATTTTTTGCTTTTCTATTTTTGTGTAAATGTTTTTGTTCAAAAGTTTTTTTCCTCAAAATGCAATTAATACGTTTATTCAATAAGGATTGATCAAAGTGATCAAAAATGACATTAAAGACATTTATAGTGTTACAAAATATTTTTATTCCAAATAAATGCTGTTCTTTTGAGCTTTCTATTCATCAAAGAATCCTGATCATAAAAATATTAAAGGAATAGTTCACCCAAAAATTAAAATGTCATGAATTACTCACCCTCATGTCGTTCTAAACCCGTAAGACCTTCGTTCATCTTCGGAACACAAATTAAGATATTTTTGATGGAATCTGAGAGCTGTCTGACCCTGCATAGACAGCAACGTAACTGAAATGTTCCCAAGTCCAGAGACGTAGCAAGGAGATCTGTAAAATAATCCATGTGACCGCTGCATCATGCGGATCTGTTTCCTACGTTGTTGTGATTTGATCTGAATGAAAACAGCGTATCCGTGTGACGCAGCTGACACAGAACAGCATACGCTGTTTACGTCCAGCTGATACTCTCCAAAATGGCACCAGGGTGACGCGGAGGAGACGAATTGTTGAATAAAGTCTTTGTTTTTTTTTCTTTTGCGCACAAAAAGTATTCTCGTAGCGTCGTAAAATTACGGTTGAACCCCTGATGTCACATTAATTATTTTACCAATCTCCTTGCTGCGTTTCTGGACTTGTGGACATTTCAGTTGCGTTGCTGTCTATGCAGAGTCAGACAGCTCTCAGATTCCATCAAAAACATCTTAATTTGTGTTCCAAAGATGAACGAAGGTCTTACGGGTTTGAAATTACATGAGGGTGAGTAATTAATGACAGAATTTTCATTTTTGGGTGAACTATCCCTTTGAGCAGCACAACTGTTTTCAACATTGATAATAATAAGAAATGTTTCTTTAGTACCAAATTAACATATCAGCATAGAATGATTTCTGAAGGATCATGTGACACTGAAGAGTAATGACTGCTGAAAATTCAGCTTTACCATCCAGATTTATGAGCTTTACCACAATTTATAATTTATATATAAATTAGATTTTATAATATATCTAAATAGTTATTTTAAATTGTAATAATATTTTACAATATTACTGTTTATATAGTATTTTTGATCAAATAAATGTAGCCTTGGTGAGCATAAGAGACTGCTTTCAAAAACATTAAAAAACCTTACCAATTCTAAACTTTTGAACGGTAGTGTATATATTATTAAATATTAATTTAATAATAACACTGTAATAATCAGTTATATTATGATCAGTAACTTTCATTTATATGTATTCAATTAGCAGATTGAGTTAATGTAATAATATCAAACATAACATGCAATAATATTAATTAATAATTAATAATATTGTATGTTTAGGGGGAGTCATCAACATGTCTGTTCCCATTGTGCTGCCCATATCCAAGGATGACAAAAAGAGGCTGGACGGTTGTGCTGCTTTTGTCCTGGAGTTCAAAGGTCAAAAGGTGGCAATCATGCGCAACCCTGAGTTTTATGAGCATCGTAAAGAAGAGAGATGTGCCAGGCAGTGGGGTACAACATGCCCCCAACATCCATACATCAAGGTGAGAAGACGCATGTCTGTCAAAGTCATTGCTTTTATAACAGTTGTATGTTATACTTGCTAATACAATCAGCCAATGAAATGCCACCTTTTATGCTCTCAGGAGATCAAAGTATTCTAGTTTCTTTTATCCTTACACTACGTACAGATGGTAATGGAGAGTGGTGATTGGCTGGCCGGTGGAGATCTGGAGGTGCTTGAGAGAATTAGGTGGAATGATGGCCTTGACCAGTACCGTCTCACTCCACGGGAGCTAAGACAGACATTTAAAGAAATGAGAGCAGGTAAAAGTGAAACATGTAGTAGTTTCATATGAAAAAATTACAATTACTATGTAAAGAATACTCTTATTATGATGGAATACATTATAATGATGCTGTAGCAAATTTAACACCACCCCTAAACCTAAACTTTTTTTTTTATATACAAATTCCTTCCCATGAGTACCTGCTAGTGTGACAAAACCCTCTGCAATTGTGTCTTTCCCTTGCAGATGCCATTTTTGCATTCCAGTTGCGTAATCCTGTGCACAACGGCCATGCGCTCCTGATGCAGGACACAAAGCATCGTCTGCTTGAGCGGGGTTACAAAAAGCCTGTGCTGCTGCTGCACCCTCTGGGTGGCTGGACCAAAGAGGATGATGTACCGCTGGACTGGCGCATGAAGCAGCATGCTGCTGTGCTGGACGAAGGAGTGCTGGATCCAGAGAACACCATTGTGGCCATTTTCCCCTCACCCATGATGTATGCTGGGCCTACAGAGGTCAGACTTTTGTTGAACATGTTACTCTGGGGGTATACTTTTTTAGTATAAATAATTGAGTCAAACCAATTCTGAATTGGACAAAAAAATTATTTCCTTATAGGTACAGTGGCATTGTCGGGCCAGGATGATCGCAGGGGCCAACTTTTACATTGTAGGACGAGATCCAGCAGGTTTGCCCCATCCGGAGACAAAGAAGGACCTGTACGAGCCCACACACGGTGGAAAAGTGCTGATCATGGCACCAGGCCTCACTTCTCTAGAGATTATTCCCTTCAGAGTTGCTGCATACAACAAAGTTAAGAAGGCCATGGACTTCTATGACACGGAAAGGTGTGTAAATATTTAATTTCAACTCTTAAGACTGCACTGAAATATTTATAACTATTTAACCCCCTAACATGAAAATTAATTAATGTAGAATCAAGATAGCTTAAGTATGGCATATCTTTTTAACTCTAAATGTAATGATAATGAAAGCCATCATTTTTAATATTTTTTATATATAATTAACATTAAAAAAATAAAAATAAATAAATAAATAATATATATATATGTATTTATATTTAATAAAAAATTGTCCTATTACAATGGTCACAAAAAAAAAAACATTATAATGAATGTCACATTTAGCTTTATTTATAACACCTAATAATGTTCCTCTCTGTCTGCTGTTTTATTTATATTGAAGCTAATTTATGCATTATTTTTAATGCAGATCACTACACTATTTATATTTATATATATATATATTTATATATTATATTTGTATATACCGTATTTTGCTCATCTTGACAAGAATTGATCACAGCTCACAGCTGCTTGACCAGGAACTGTTACTGAAACTGAAGTTCAAGGCAGCTGCATTTCTGTTTTTCAGACATGGTGAATTTGAGTTCATCTCAGGGACCAAAATGCGGAGCCTTGCCCGCAGCGGGGAGACCCCCCCCGATGGTTTCATGGCCCCCAAAGCCTGGAAAGTCCTAGCTGAGTATTACAGTTCTCTGCAGAAGGACCAGTGAACACAAGGCACTGGACTATATGCAGACATACAGTAAAGCTCTATTTAATCTATTTCATTAGAACTGATAGATTTATAGAAAGATGCATCGTGTATTCCAGTCCTACATTGTAACCATAATAAATCTTTATTACTCATTTCTACAGCATTCTTAGACAAATGCTATCTATATTTATGCCCTGCAAATTACTTTAAAATAGTATATTTTGTTCCCTGAAATCACCCTGTAGATGGATCAAACTACACAGCTACTGCTGTATCAGGTGTGTTATAGACTTATAGTCTGTTCGAGCAGTTCGAACTATGCGTGACGGTAATAGGACCAATATTTCACCTACCTCAGCTGGAGCTTTATTTGGATAAATGTTTTGTCTTGGCAGTATTTCCACCAGTGGAGAACATCGTGTACTCATTGAAGAGGCAGATTAATTCTATAACATTGATTATAAGAATTTAAAAATGTTCAGTACTGGCAGCGGAGTATAACCACAGTCAGATGTCTTTGACATTAACACAATAGTGTCTTGCAGTGTACGTCCATGTGCCTTAATGTAAATGTGCATTATTTTGACATTCCCAAATGAACGAGTTACTGTAAAGAGTGATGTATGAATGTTAATGATTTGTGCTGATTGCATAAACATGAAACTCTTGAGGAATCCAATGTGAAGGAACAAGAGCATATTCATTGTCTTTCCATTTTCTCAGCGGACCAACCTAAACATATTTATTATCTTACAGGAAATGTATTTACTTCGTTCTACTTTTTGTACAAACTTGTGAGATTTACAGTGTCATTTCTTACAATATTTGATGTAATGTGCATCGGGCAGTCATTCCAATAAACTTTATTAAGACAAAACCATTGCCATCCAATTTTTCTACAGTGTAAACAAAACATTTCAAATATATTCTGACTGCTAAGCACATTTAGACTGAAGAGAGCAGTGGACTATTGTAAACTAGGAAACCTAGTAACTGAAAAAGTCTTGCATATTGTTCATTGTATTGCTGGCAATCCATAGACAAGTTTCTCCAAAAGAATAATCTTTTCATTTTCAAGTCTCCTTTGCCCACTCGAACCCCAAAAATAACACCCGACAGATGAGTACATGCATAAAAGCAAAGATGCATCGTGTATTCCAGTCCTACATTGTAACCATAATAAATCTTTATTACTCATTTCTACAGCATTCTTAGATAAATGCTATCTATATTTATGCCCTGCAAATTACTTTAAAATTGTATATTTTGTTCCCTGAAATCACCCTGTAGATGGATCAAACTACACAGCTACTGCTGTATCAGGTGTGTTATAGACTTATAGTCTGTTCGAGCAGTTCGAACTATGCGTGACGGTAATAGGACCAATATTTCACCTACCTCAGCTGGAGCTTTATTTGGATAAGTGTTTTGTCTTGGCAGTATTTCCACCAGTGGAGAACATCGTGTACTCATTGAAGAGGCAGATTAATTCTATAACATTGATTATAAGAATTTAAAAATGTTCAGTACTGGCAGCGGAGTATAACCACAGTCAGATGTCTTTGACATTAACACAATAGTGTCTTGCAGTGTACGTCCATGTGCCTTAATGTAAATGTGCATTATTTTGACATTCCCAAATGAACGAGTTACTGTAAAGAGTGATGTATGAATGTTAATGATTTGTGCTGATTGCATAAACATGAAACTCTTGAGGAATCCAATGTGAAGGAACAAGAGCATATTCATTGTCTTTCCATTTTCTCAGCGGACCAACCTAAACATATTTATTATCTTACAGGAAATGTATTTACTTCGTTCTACTTTTTGTACAAACTTGTGAGATTTACAGTGTAATTTCTTACAATATTTGATGTAATGTGCATCGGGCAGTCATTCCAATAAACTTTATTAAGACAAAACCATTGCCATCCAATTTTTCTACAGTGTAAACAAAACATTTCAAATATATTCTGACTTCTAAGCACGTTTAGACTGAAGAGAGCAGTGGACTATTGTAAACTAGGAAACCTAGTAACTGAAAAAGTCTTGCATATTGTTCATTGTATTGCTGGCAATCCATAGACAAGTTTCTCCAAAAGAATAATCTTTCCATTTTCAAGTCTCCTTTGCCCACTCGAATCCCAAAAATAACACCCAACAGATGAGTACATGCATAAAAATATACCCCAGCGACTTAAGACTGGTTTTGTGCTCCAGGGTCACATATAAGGATGCACAATGCTAGAGCTATTATGTAAAGACCTAGTGTGCTGCATTCATCTAATCAATAACATTGACACACCGCAAATATGCAAATAAGAACATTAACTCAGGGTTTAGGAATGTACAGTTTGAAATGTCATCTTATGACTACCCAGGGTTAATTGTTAACACCGGGTAAATTATAATAATAATTCATTAAAATAATAATTTATGCATTTAGCAGACGCTTTTATCCAAAGCGACTTAAAGTGCATTCAGGGTATACATTTTTTACCAGTATGTGTGTTCCCTGGGAATTGAACCCACGACCGTTTGCGCTGCTAACACAATGCTCTACCACTGAGCCACAGGAACACAAAAAAAATAAATTAGTTGTGTGAAACTAGAATGACCAAGAGTTAACTATTTCAGGTGTGAAAAGCCCTAATGACAAATATCCAGAATTGTATTGCCATATTATGTGACTTTAAAGGAGTAAAATATACCAATTAAGATTCAAACGTAGATTTCCAGTGATCCATAAATGTGCAATGAAGCTGAACAGATCTACCTTTGAAAGCAAAGGGTAAAATTAATAACTACTGGTATATCAATATTAAGGGGTGTATGAGGGACACATAATTTAAATATGCATTTACCGATCTCATCGATGAAGATAATAGAGGGCTGTAGCTTGATGGCCAGTGAAAAGACAGCTGCAGCTAGTTTCTGGGATTCTCCGTACCATTTGTCAGTGAGAGTGGAAGGCTGCAGGTTAATGAAGCGGAATCCAGCCTCTTTGGCAGTAGCTTTGGCTATAAGAGTTTTCCCACAGCCTGGAGGCCCATACAGCAACACACCTGAGAAGATGACAAGCAAACCACCGCAGAATAATGTGTGGAGTTCAGTTTAGAAACACTTTATGGAAATATTTCCATCTAATGCCTACCTTTGGGTGGCTGAAGAAGCCTGGACCCTTCAAACAGATGTCTCTTCTGGATCGGAAGTATAACCGTGTCTTTCAGTTCAGTTATGACTTCATCCAGACCTGCAATGTCATGCCATGTAATCTGTGGACACACATAAATGATTTGTGTAACTTGCGTAATCATTTAAAATATACAAGTAGACTAGACAATTAAGGACTGGTAAATAAAGTCAGATGGTGACTTTAGATGGTGAAATTCCTCGCCTGCATAGTCAGTGGATCCACAAGATGAGCTGCAATGCTCATCTCATATTCAGAAAGCTTCACATTCTGCACTCCAATCTGCCGCATGAGTTTCTCTGCCTGTGAGGCCGCAACAAAACTTCACATTAAACTCCAGCCTTTGGTGAAGCTATGCTTTGTGAAAAGTTCAACTTAGTAAGGCTTCCTAACTTGTGGCAAATAATGGGAAAAAATACAATATAATGACCGTAGAATGTTTAGTCTCCATGAAAAGGGGATAGGACTATATATGATAAAGTAGTAAACAAATGAAAAGGGGATAGGACTATATATGATAAAGTAGTAAACAAATGAAAAGGGGATAGGACTATATATGATAAAGTAGTAAACAAATAAAAAGGGGTACATTTAAACATTTTCTACAATCACAATTTCTACATAACGGAATATTTTAGAGCGGAGCAGGACAAAAAATATCTGTAATATTACACTTACAAGAAATTGTGTACTGATAACTAACAGAACTCATCCAACCTTCCAAAACTATCAAGTAACTCATCCTGTAAACTGCGTACCTGTTTTTGTGCCTCAACTTTCTGTTTTCTTGTTGGATCAATAGCATCCACCATCCACTTTATTGTAAAATAGGTGACGGCACCAAATATTGTGAGGCGAAAGAGTAAACCTATGACCTCGTTCCGGCCCAAAGGGCGAGTGATATTGTCTGTTGGAATCTCTTTCAATACCATCTTCTTACATTCACCTGCAAAATAAAAACAATAAAATCAGTATTATTACAAATCTAGGGGGTTCTAAGGAGCCATTTACTTGACTTTTAACTTGAGTATTGAATATGGGTTTGAATGTGTAAATAAAGCTCTGTATAAATGTTACTTGCATATATACAATTCTGATATAGTGTGTCCAATCGGGTAATCAAAAGTTGTACACGCTCTTCACGCCCACTCGAACACTTGGTCCAAATACAGGAAATATGTCATGTAATTAGACAAGTGTTTTTTTTTTTATTGCTTGAAGAACATAAATACCAAACAAATAACAGTAAGAAAAATCTTAATACAATTTAAAGAAGTCCAAATAGCAGCATAACAAAAAATACATGGATAAACAAAATAAACATAACGGGAAAAGTAAGAAAGAAAAACAAATAAATACAGGAAGAAAAAAAACTACAATGCAAGGGGCTGGCTTAATCATCAAAAAATACCTTTTATTTTAGATTACATAGTTTAAGGGCTTTTTTATGACGCATGAGCTTTAAAGATTTGAAGAAGACCATTAAATCTTTCTGGAAAAATAATAAAGTGTGGGGGGGGTTTATTAAAGAATCTGCATTTATGAATGAAGTAACTGGCAAAAATCACAATATTATTAACCAAAAATTCAACATCACAATTCCGACAAAAGGACAAATATTTTACAGTTTTAAAATCAAAGTCAGGTATTACATACTTCAAACTTAACCAAGCATAGAGGTCATCCCATAATTGTTTTTGAGAATTTGCATAAAACAAATGTTCGGGGGGGTTTATTAAAGAATCTGCATTTATGAATGAAGTAATTGGCAAAAATCACAATATTATTAACCAAAAATTCAACATCACAATTCCGACAAAAGGACAAATATTTTACAGTTTTAAAATCAAAGTCAGGTATTACATACTTCAAACTTAACCAAGCATAGAGGTCATCCCATAATTGTTTTTGAGAATTTGCATAAAACAAATGTTCCAATGTCTGCTGCACAAAAGGTGCATCCATTACAATCCAAATTAAACCTGTGTCTGAGGAACTCATTACAGGGATAAATATCGTTAATCATTTTAAACTGAGCTTGTTTTACCTTTGGCAGAAGTGGAAAAGAGAGAAATCATGTTCTAATTTGAACCACTTTATCTTCAGGAAAATCATAGACAAGGAGTCTTTCTTTACTTTAGTAGGGGAAGTCTGTGTATTTACTAATGTTCTTAAAACCTTATTATTACAGCTCTGCTCTGTAAAATTAATACCAGAGATGATTAGATGACCTAATCTTGGTATCACAGGTGAATAACACAAAGCACCTTTAATATTAGACAAGTGGTCAAGTGCAAAGTGTGGGTATTGAGCCAGGCCTTATGTGAGTGCCTCCGTTCTGAAAGCATTCAATAATCACTCCGTGTTAGTTCCATGGTCAAATTTGCGCCTAATTATCTCGCCACTGTATAAAAAAAATGAGTGTGTATTGAAATACTACGAACTTCTGTACCGAACAAGTATTAGATTAAATAATAATAATAATAATAATTACACAGTACCGCCGATTCCAAAACACGCGGAGTACGCAACTTTGTCAATTCACTCTTAGTATGGTGATGAGTTAGCATAATTTCCTTTCATTTTCATAATTGTTTCACTGAAGAGTTATTGATGATTTCCTGTGACCTTCCTGTGGGAAAAAACAGATCACATACCTGAACCGTCTTTATTACTGGGTCTTGGAAATATTGTTTTAAGTGTGGGTATTGAGCCAGGCCTTATGTGAGTGCCTCCGTTCTGAAAGCATTCAATAATCACTCCGTGTTAGTTCCATGGTCAAATTTGCGCCTAATTATCTCGCCACTGTATAAAAAAAATGAGTGTGTATTGAAATACTACGAACTTCTGTACCGAACAAGTATTAGATTAAATAATAATAATAATAATAATTACACAGTACCGCCGATTCCAAAACACGCGGAGTACGCAACTTTGTCAATTCACTCTTAGTATGGTGATGAGTTAGCATAATTTCCTTTCATTTTCATAATTGTTTCACTGAAGAGTTATTGATGATTTCCTGTGACCTTCCTGTGGGAAAAAACCGATCACATACCTGAACCGTCTTTATTACTGGGTCTTGGAAATATTGTTTAAAAAAAAAAGTAGTTTCCTTTTAATCCAACGTTTAATTTACTTCCAGCGATCAGATTTTTTAAAAACACATTTCATTCAGCTACACTCTTCTTCTTCTATTGCGGCTGCTTCTTCTCTGTTTTTTGGCAAACCAACGGTAAAGGTGCATGTCCGCCACCTACTGGTCTGGAGTGTGAAACGTACACGGTTCAGCTATGAACTCTTCAACTACTATAGATTAAAAGGGGGGGAGGGGGCTTTAATAAATAAATAAATACAAAATTCAAAGCTTCAAACTCTTTGCTTAGTCTTCTTCTTCTTCTTCTTCTTCTTCTTCTATGGTTTATTAGCGGTTGGCAAACTAGCTTAGGTGCATTACCGCCACAAAACTGGATAGGCGTGCGGTCGGACCGCGTTGTACAAGCCGGTAAATCGTAGATAAGCTACCAGACCACTGCTAGCACAGGTAGTCCATACCATTAACAGTGCTGGAGCTACCCTTACGAAAATTAACCATGGTTTTACTACAAATAAAACCTAAAAACCATGGTTATAGTTAAACTATGGTAACCACAAATTAACAATGGATTTGCTACACTAACCATAGTTTAATGTATTTGTAGTAGGCCAAAACTGTGATTATACAAATGGTAATCAATACACCTAAAACCATGGTTACTACACTTTTACTATAGTAAAAACATGGATAATTTTCGTTAAAGGGGACTACATTTAAGTGATTCTCCTTCTCAGTGGTCAAAGACAATAGGATGATCAGCTGAGTGGTGAGTAAATGCATTCTCAGTCTGTGCCATCTATCATACAAGTGTAAATTATCCGAAGGTGATCCATCGTTTCGTGTTTGATGTGAAAGCACTATTCATTGGCGATTCGCTTCGCTTTTTTTGTGTAGCCCTCAGTGTGAAAAGCCCTTTAGATGACACAACAAAAAGGCAGCCAGGCATTGACATCAAGTGGAAAGCCATCAAGAAGACCTACGTTGATTCATGTATTGAGATTAGGCTACAGGAAGAGAAAACACAAGGAATGGTTAATACCTGGCACTTGGAAAAATAGAAGAAAGGAAACAATTTAAAGCCAAAATGCTCAGCACTAAGTCACCAATTCCACAGAGCATACAAGTCCAAAGATAAGGAGGTGAAGAAGAGCACCAGGAAGGAAAAAAATAACCTTTATAGAGGAGATGGCTAGCCAGGCTGAACACAACACAGAGAGAGGTGATTAAGCGCTGTATATAAGATCACTAAACAGCTGAGCGGTGGTAACAAAGGCCAGTCTGCCCCAATTAAAGACAAGAATGGCAACACCCTCTCAAATGTGCACGAGCAAGCCAGCAGACGAGTACAACACTTTCATGAAGGACTCAACAGACCTGAAACAGTAGAGCCCGCCAACCATCTAGCAGCAGCAGATTTTCTGAACATTTACATCAGTCCCCCAATTGAGGCTAAACTCAGACGTGCCATCAAAGCACTCAAGAATGGAAAGGCAGCCACAAATTAACAATGGATTTGCTACACTAACCATAGTTTAATGTATTTGTAGTAGGCCAAAACTGTGATTATACAAATGGTAATCAATACACCTAAAACCATGGTTACTACACTTTTACTATAGTAAAAACATGGATAATTTTCGTTAAAGGGGACTTTTACAGGTAGGCCTACAAGGGTACAATTTGACACACCGGCGAATGTTCTCTTCATGTATAGAGACCAAGGATACACAAAAAGTCTTGAGTTACTTATTTATTGGGCGACAACAAGCTCTGCATAAAAAGAGTTGTAATCGGATCAGTAGACTTCTGTGTATGCCGATAGAATTTGGGGTGTATTCATACATTACTGTCATATTGTACATGTCTGTATTCAGTTATGTACTATTTATGTACCAAATGCAGGGTGTGGGGGGGACTCAGGTCCCTGGCAGGTTCAACCATACCAGATTGGTCTCAGGCATGGCAAAGCATTGCAATTTACCAATATGCACCAACAAATGAAGCTAAGGAGAAGGACAAAATTAACTGGTATGAAGTACAACACACAGTCTTTAAAGTCCCTCATCATGTTTATCGGCAACAGGAATACTAAGGCTGGAGCTGACAAAACTAACTATTAGATAGAGCTATGGGAAGCCAAGGTTGTGGGGAGATAAATGACAATGGCAGCAGACTTGTTGACTTTGACTTGGACAACAACCTAGTGGTCAGATGCACCATCAACAAAAGGACATCCCCAAGCTGAAATGGAAATCAGCTGATGGTAACACGATTGACCACATCCTGATCAATGGAAAGTGGTCCTTCCAAAATGACAGTGTGTTGAGATGCAGATGTCAGCAGTGACCACTACCCTGTGAAAAGTAGCCTATGATCAAACTCAAACTTCACAAGGTGAAAGAGGAAAGTCAGTGACGTAAAGCTAGATGCTGCCAAGATCAAATTTCCTCAAACCTACAGGGAACTTTGTACTGAAATTGAGGAACCATTTTAGTGTCTGGAGGGCGTTTCACACTGAGCGTGATTAATTGACGCGAATGTACGATGATGTTCTTGAATAAAAATGTTTCAATAAAAATGTTATTCACACCAGGCGTGATCAGTTGCGGCATTACAAAGTGAGATTTTTTTTTTGACCAGTGTGTCAATTTTTTCCCTGTCACACCAGGATTAAACAAGCTGTCCAATTAGATTTGAATTTTAGATTATGTTCCCGGAGGTGCTGCTGTTGCACAAAAGGGCAACATTGGTGGTTTTATATCAGAAACACCATTCAGAAAAATTATATTCTTTAAATACAGCATACTACTTTGTTGCACTTTCTAAGGCAAATAGAATGATAAGGCACTCACCGTCAATCTATGGAACTCCCCATGCTCTTCTCTTTTCTCAAGAATAAGGTGTATCCAAAAATGCTGTCTTATTCTTTTCCTTTCCTGATTTAAAAACAAAAACTCGTCCTCGCTGCTGCTGGTAGAGAAATCCATTTTCTTTCTTTTTCTGTGTTTCTAGAATTAAATCACTGAGGGTTCTTCTGAATTAGTGAGTGTGCTCTAGTCTTAATGCACATCTATTTTGACATCTATTTTTGATATTTAAGTGATACAACATTTAAGTGATTCTCCTTCTCAGTGGTCAAAGACAATAGGATGATCAGCTGAGTGGTGAGTAAATGCATTCTCAGTCTGTGCCATCTATCATACAAGTGTAAATTATCCGAAGGTGATCCATCGTTTCGTGTTTGGTGTGAAAGCACTATTCATTGGCGATTCGCTTCGCTTTTTTTGTGTAGCCCTCAGTGTGAAAAGCCCTTTAGATGACGCAACAAAAAGGCAGCCAGGCATTGACATCAAGTGGAAAGCCATCAAGAAGACCTACGTTGATTCATGTATTGAGATTGGGCTACAGGAAGAGAAAACACAAGGAATGGTTAATACCTGGCATTTGGAAAAATAGAAGAAAGGAAACAATTTAAAGCCAAAATGCTCAGCACTAAGTCACCAATTCCACAGAGCATACAAGTCCAAAGATAAGGAGGTGAAGAAGAGCACCAGGAAGGAAAAAAATAACCTTTATAGAGGAGATGGCTAGCCAGGCTGAACACGACACAGAGAGAGGTGATTAAGCGCTGTATATAAGATCACTAAACAGCTGAGCGGTGGTAACAAAGGCCAGTCTGCCCCAATTAAAGACAAGAATGGCAACACCCTCTCAAATGTGCACGAGCAAGCCAGCAGACGAGTACAACACTTTCATGAAGGACTCAACAGACCTGAACGGGATGGCCAGAAAGGCGCCACCAATAGGAGTCTGAGTAAGCATGGGCTCCCCAAACTGTGCGAGGTGGGGGATGCTCAGGCTTGTCACTCCTCCCAGAGGGCTCCTTCCTGAGTGTAGAGCAGTCTCTGGGCTTAGTGGCAGGAGTGGAAGGTTCACAAGCCCTCCTAGTTATGAAAATCTTAAGGGCAGTTGATAGAGTCTTTGCCGTGCGGAATTGTCAACCACTCAACTGACTGCTTCTCCAAAAAGGCCTGACTGGGAGATAGGGGCATCTATTAGGAAAACCTTCACCTTTTCACGAATCTCAGTGAGATTTAGCCAAAGGAGGCGTACGGTAGTCACCAAGCCCGCCATTGTGTGTCCAATCCAGGCACGTGCACACATAGACATCAAAGGGGGCTTGAGCACCTGTCCTTTTTCTTCCTCGAGAGAAAATGCCCTCTTTTTTTTAAAATAAATGAATATATGTATATACGTGTGAATCTGTTTGCACACAGCTTTCTCTGTCAAACAAATAAAAAAAATCTAAATATCAGGTCGGGTCGGGAAATGTTGAGACTGTCGAGTTCTGATGTCTTTCTCCCTCCTCGTCTCAGCGCAGCACAGCAGTGTAGCACACATTGATCGGCACATCACAGTCACAGACAGGCAGAGAGCCGCAGAAGTGAACCCCTCCCTTCCTTTCCAGTTGTGTTTGTGTGGAGGTGAGTGGTGATGAACAAAAGACTAAGCTACCTGTGCCTCAAATTTACAGCTAATTATCCAAAAGACAAAAGACAAATATAGTTAATTTGTCTTGCTAACATCCATGACTCAGCTACCATGTAAGTTAGCTAAAGTTTAGCTAAGGCAATAGGAAGTCTAGTAGGTTAGGCCAGTGCGCGTTCTTTCACTACATGATTCAGTTTATTAAAATGCATTTAGAATAATCACAAAATTCAAGATATGGGGGCAGAAATCTATATATTTATATATAGTTAATCAGTATCACACGAAGACTTTATACAGCAGTTCAATAAACATGAATTTAATACACTTACTTTAGACACAAATGACTGTTTTTGGTATATTTTGCCAACAAATATAACTCCAATTTGCATCTCTGAGCAACATGAAGGTGTTTCGTTCCTGAATGAATCAACCGTTTAAATGAATCGGTTCAATCGCAATGACTCACTTATAAACAGTGACTTGCTGCCACCTACTGGCGGTTTTGATTTCACATTTAAAATGTCTTTTCATTTAAAAAAAATCAAATATCAGTATTCAACATTTTATGTTTCAATTATCACAGCAGTATTAATGTATTTGTAACTGCAGGTTAAAACATTAATGTCCTGTATTAAACTGTGTAAATGCCACTTCATAAAAGGTAAAAATCAATTTAAACTTATTGGAAAAGATTAATTTCTATCACTGCTGTGAACTGATCACCACACAGAATATGCAGAATATCAAAAACTTTAGAAGTCAGCTGTCCACGGTAGTCCGTACC